CCACCTCCCTCGCCGCCTTTGGCGGCGAGCGGGGGTTTCAATGTCTCCTTGTTTTATGGTTATTTTGTTTACATTTTTGATGGGGGGGGAAAGAAAAAAAAAACTTTGTCCGACCTACCGACCCAATACTGAAATTTCATGTTACCGGAAACACACTACTTTTTTTTCTACGCCTAAAGATATAATGGTATGTTCGGATAAATGATATTTTTACTTACTGATACATTTCACTTTGGAACAAACATCAAATTGGCTTCCTGTTGTTTACAATCAACAGTTTTGAATCTCTTAAATTCACAATTTGGATACCAGCAAACTGTATTTAATTTTATGGAAACATTTTCAGGCGGCACGGTGATCAACTGGTTAGCACGTCGGCCTCACAGTGCGGAGGTGCAGCGTTCGATTCCGGCTCCGGCCTTCCTGTGTGGAGTTTGCATGCTCTCCCTGTGCCTACGTGGGTTTTCTCCGGGTATTCCGGTTTCCTACTGTATTCCAAAAACATGCATGGCAAGTTAATGGAGCACTCTAAATTTTCCAGAGGTGTGATTGTGAGCGTGAATGGTTGTTCGTCTATGTGTGCTCTGCAATTCGCTGGCAACCAGTTCAGGGTGTACCCCGCCTACTTCGTGAAGACAGAAGGGAAATCCTCCAGCATGCCCGCGACCATTGTAAGGATAAGCGATTAGATAATGGATGGATTGATAGAAACATTTTCAGTGAGTTACCGTATCTTCCACACTATAAGGCGCTTCGGAGTATAAGGCGCACCTTCAGTGAATGGCCTATTTTAAAACTATTTTCATATATAGGGCGCACCGCATTATAAGGCGCATAGAATAGAAGCTACAATCGTGGCTAGGGTTGCGTTATGCATCCATTCGATGGTATTACGCCAAAGGGAATACAATACAGTGAAACTCCTCTACAACGAAATCATGTTTGCAGCAAGAAATTTTTCACAACAGGGGGTTTTTCACTGTAGCAAATTTGATCTCAGATGTAAGCACACACACACCCACACACACAAACGTATGTGTACACGCACACACAAACGTTTGTGTACTCTATTTTTATTCCAATAGTACATAAGTATGAGCACACACTTATTTGACACTTCATATTGTCAGTGTAGAAAGAAAAAAAGGGAAAGAAATTGCGAAATTTACGATCAGCATTCACTTTCACTTACATCAATTTCTTGGAAAATGTATTTTATTTTGCTTGCTCCGTCTTTCATTTTGATCACTTTTACCCTCTCTTCCAGCATCAGAGCTCTTCTTGTCTTAGCTGCTTGACATCAAAAGGTCCGTTTTGTAGCCATTTTAGCAATGCAACGTCCATCCTCGTCTGAATCTAACAATAACAAATACTTCCTGGCATGCAATGAACTTTTAAGCCAGCCACGGGGCGCTTCGTAGTCCTCGATGGCCATAGTTAGCTCTCGAAGACTAAAAACCTTAGCCTAAAGATATAATGGTATGTTCGGATAAATGATATTTTTACTTACTGATACATTTCACTTTGGAACAAACATCAAATTGGCTTCCTGTTGTTTACAATCAACAGTTTTGAATCTCTTAAATTCACAATTTGGATACCAGCAAACTGTATTTAATTTTATGGAAACATTTTCAGGCGGCACGGTGATCAACTGGTTAGCACGTCGGCCTCACAGTGCGGAGGTGCAGCGTTCGATTCCGGCTCCGGCCTTCCTGTGTGGAGTTTGCATGCTCTCCCTGTGCCTACGTGGGTTTTCTCCGGGTATTCCGGTTTCCTACTGTATTCCAAAAACATGCATGGCAAGTTAATGGAGCACTCTAAATTTTCCAGAGGTGTGATTGTGAGCGTGAATGGTTGTTCGTCTATGTGTGCTCTGCAATTCGCTGGCAACCAGTTCAGGGTGTACCCCGCCTACTTCGTGAAGACAGAAGGGAAATCCTCCAGCATGCCCGCGACCATTGTAAGGATAAGCGATTAGATAATGGATGGATTGATAGAAACATTTTCAGTGAGTTACCGTATCTTCCACACTATAAGGCGCTTCGGAGTATAAGGCGCACCTTCAGTGAATGGCCTATTTTAAAACTATTTTCATATATAGGGCGCACCGCATTATAAGGCGCATAGAATAGAAGCTACAATCGTGGCTAGGGTTGCGTTATGCATCCATTCGATGGTATTACGCCAAAGGGAATACAATACAGTGAAACTCCTCTACAACGAAATCATGTTTGCAGCAAGAAATTTTTCACAACAGGGGGTTTTTCACTGTAGCAAATTTGATCTCAGATGTAAGCACACACACACCCACACACACAAACGTATGTGTACACGCACACACAAACGTTTGTGTACTCTATTTTTATTCCAATAGTACATAAGTATGAGCACACACTTATTTGACACTTCATATTGTCAGTGTAGAAAGAAAAAAAGGGAAAGAAATTGCAAAATTTACGATCAGCATTCACTTTCACTTACATCAATTTCTTGGAAAATGTATTTTATTTTGCTTGCTCCGTCTTTCATTTTGATCACTTTTACCCTCTCTTCCAGCATCAGAGCTCTTCTTGTCTTAGCTGCTTGACATCAAAAGGTCCGTTTTGTAGCCATTTTAGCAATGCAACGTCCATCCTCGTCTGAATCTAACAATAACAAATACTTCCTGGCATGCAATGAACTTTTAAGCCAGCCACGGGGCGCTTCGTAGTCCTCGATGGCCATAGTTAGCTCTCGAAGACTAAAAACCTTACGCTAACTGGAGCGCTAATGAGAGAGAAGCGCTCCAGTTAGCTAAGGTTTTTAGTCTTCGAGAGCTAACTATGGCCATCGAGGACTACGAAGCGCCCCGTGGCTGGCTTAAAAGTTCATTGCATGCCAGTAAAATTTTCCTCAATTCTCCGGAGAAATTTTCATAAAAATTTGAAAAACCCGGAATTCCGGGAAAATCCGGAGGACTTTCATCTCTGACACACAAACACACACACACACACACACACACACACACGTATGTGTACACGCACACACAAACGTATGTGTACTCTATTTTTATTCCAAAAACAGCATCAGAGCTCTTCTTGTCTTAGCTGCTTGACACCCAAATGTCCGTTTTGTAGCCATTTTAGCAATGCAATGTCCATCCTCGTCTGAATCGAACAATAACAAATACTTCCTGGCATGCAATGAATTTTTAAGCCAGCCACGGGACGCTTCGATGGCCATAGTTAGCTCTCAAAGGCTAAAAGCCTTACGCTAACTGGAGTGTTAAATGAGCGCTCCAGTTAGCGTAAGGTTTTTAGCCTTCGAGAGCTAACTATGGCCATGGAGGACTACGAAGCGTCCCGTGGCTGTTTTTAGCATGATAACAAGGAAAGCATTCGAGGAAACGTTCGTTTATTTGAATGTAATGAGCGCTCCAGTTAGCGTAAGGTTTTTAGCCTTCGAGAGCTAACTATAACTAACAAGTTGACTGTAATTCCGTTAGTTTTGCTGGATCTTTAGCAATCGTGAGGAACGGAAAACCACTCACATTAACAGTATTATCACAAAATTATTTAAAAGAATACATTCAGAGAGGCTTATTATACTGACATTTTGTTGAATTCACTTAAAAAATACAAACACATATATATGGCTCTCACTGAAATACATTTCCAAATATTTAGCTTTCATGGCTCTCTTAGTTAAAAAGGTTCCCAACGCCTGGTCGACAGTATGTTTGTTACTCTTGGCCCAGGCCAAGGCGCGCTTCTCGGTCACATGAAAATAAAACCCAGGAGCTGGCAAAACGAGTAAAAAACAAACGTCTTTGGAAAGTTGCTTTGGGAACGGGAAGAGGCCCAGCCAGGAGACAGAAGAGGAGCCTACGACTTTCAAGAAAGAGAAGGCTCCATTTAATAGACAGCATCAGGAGTCCTACTTAAAATACGGATTTATCTCAATGGGAGATTCCCGTATACCAAGCCCACTCTGCGTAATATGCGGCGATGGTGAGTCATATTTTTCATGCACTTTGTATTTGCGGTGTATCTTATTTTGAAGGTACGTTTAAACGTTACCATAGCGACCAGAGAGCGTTGCGGCCAGATCGGACGTTCCTCGTGTCATGATTTGTGTTTATTATTATGTTTAGAAAATACCACCGTTTTCATGCAGGTCATATCATATTATTTTGTTGGATTTTTCAGGCTGTTGTATTTATCCAGCCGATCCCTGAAAATATTGTTTGACATTAAACTGGTTCGTGGGGCAAAAAAGGTTGGGGACCGCTGTTATCGAATACAGGGGCACACAAATGTGGCATTTCCACTAATAGGATTTTTTTGGTTTGTATTTTTAAGTCCATGGGAATACCCTGTTTCTTGGGCAAGTCAGCTAAGTGACGTGTGATCTAATTACCGAATGTACTGCTGAATGGCCCCATCATGGTCTCCCTTAAGGTAGAGGTGGTCACCATACTGTCTGAAGATCTCTGACAATCCGTCACTGTCTAGATGCTGGCTTTTAGCCAAGTTTATGGCCATCACAAATAAATTCTTCTTAAACAGCATCTATAACACCAACGACAATAAAAAAAATAAATAAATAAAAAAAAAAGGATGTTGAGAAAGTCATAAATCAGCAGTGTGGCAAATACTAAGTGAGAATGTTGACACAATCATTCAATCAAACGACAAAAGACACTTTACAGTATGGTATTTAGTCTTACTTCCAACTTGGTCTGTGTGTCCTTCTCCTGGAGAATGTGCATTTTACCATCTCTGGTGAGGACGTAGAAAGAGCCCCACTCGGCCACCACATCAATGACATCATCAAATAAGGCACTATAGGCGATGAACTTATTGTCCAAGTCATAGATGGTCAAGAGCTGTTTATCTGATGGACCGCTACCAAACCTTGTCCTGCGTAGGCATCAACATCATAACATTGATTTTTCCTTCATGAAAGTAATAAATATATAATTTTATAAAACTGGAAAACGTTGAACAAATTGCCAGTTGCAGTGCGTGTTTAGTTTCAATATATTTGAAAGGTTACTGAGAATTTAAAGAGAATCTGAAGACAAGTCGAATCTTTTCAGGAAGCTCAATTTAAACATGCCACGAACAAATTATTTGCCTTTCATTTTTACCATTTGTATTTTTACTTGTTGGGTGACTGTGTATTCACGGTTGGTGTTCTTACTTAGTATTCCGAATGATTAAGAAAAGATATCCACGATGCCAGCGGGCCAAAAGTTTGGTTCCATCAAAGGCAAAGCAGGGACCTCGTTCATCAGGCTGGTAAAGATAAACACATTCATCACCAGCCACAATAAACTGAGAATCCTGCGAAGGATCTGTGAGCGATGAGCAGCGAAGAGCACACCCATGGTTATCCAGCTCTACTTTTGGATACTCTTTGGTCGTCAGGGTGTAGCACTAAAAGAAGGGAGAGAAGGTGATTGAATAAGAAATGACTCTCACATTAATATTGCCATAAACAGTGTTTTAACCCTTTCATGCACCCTGCAATGGATTAACATGATAAGCTGTCCACTGTAGTAACCGCTGTCCCTGAAAGGGTTGAAGATGACAAACAATAGCACAGCAAAACCCCGTATTCATATATTGTGGCAGTTCTTCGACTTACATGGACTTTCTCAAGCGTGGCAACATACAGATGTGTGACTTTAGCAACTTGACGGAAGGCAAGGCCCGTGACTGGGATGGTTCCCTCATGCAGAGTCAGGGTTTTACTGTGACGATCTCGAGTTATGTCACCTTTGGTCAGAACCACACTGCCATCTGTGAAACCTGTCAAGAGACAAGACATGCCTTTTTAGCCTTTGTAAAGGAAACTCAGAGTCAGATACAATGAAACACCAGAAAGCAGAAAACATTTCTTAGCCTCATACCAATGGCCATGTAGTTGAGGTTCTCATGTACACTGAGGCAAGAAACTTCTGTTGGTTTGTTGCCTGGAATTGCAGGGAAAATCCTTGTGCAGAGGGGACTTCCACTGTCTCTTTTGTCTAAGTTCCAGACCTTTACCTGAGAAACAATTACAGGTTAGTAGGTGTCCATCACTGGCTCAAATCACTGGCTCATTTGACTACAGTACAGGACTTACGAGAGGGTTTATTCCATGTTCATCCTGTCCCACGGTCACAAGAATACTGTGTTGTTTCAGTTGGTAGATATGTGTTACACGTAATTTATAAGCCTGAAAATTCGTCAGCTGCAAGAGCCGCATCAAAAGCCAGATGTTGCCATCCATATGTATTAGTGCTAAGGAAAAAAAATACACAAATGCAGTCAATGCCTAGTTAGCTTGTCAATGGCATGCCCACAGACAGACCTCTGTTGATAAAATTTGCTTGCATTTCTGAACCTCAGTGCACAATTTGTCCTGGCTCAGAATCAGCTACCAGTGTTACCAAAGCTACACATATACATATATAACTGTGCCACAGCAGAGGCTATACAACTACATTATTCCAAAATATACTGATAGTGATAAAAAAAAATCATCGTGATGGCTTATAACATTCAGTGGGTATGCATTTTGCACGTTCAACAACTGTAAATGTGCATCTTGTGTAGACAAAAATAGCAAGCAGCTAAGTAAATTTCGGTTGGGGTTTAAGCTCCAGTACTTTTTTTGTGTAGAAACGGAAAGCTCAAAAACATCAAGCACTTCGTCAGATTTTGTCTTCCGATAGAAATGAATGAGCTACTTGACACGATATATGACGTAGCTTTTGCTTGTCACCTTGCTTTGATAACGATAATAGTAGGCACCGTGGAACCTGCATGAGAACGCTTTTCGTTTTTTTATGCCGCTTTACGATTAAACTGTGCTTTGAGGCTAAACGCAATTTAATTAAAACGCCTATAGCCTAGCATAACAACAGCTGTGCGGGCTAACTACTTAAAGGATATCTCCAAGAACAATGTGACCACGTCCAGAGTCGCAGGCCGATATTCCATTTGGAAGAAGAAAGCTTTTGCCATTATCCAAAGGGTCTTGAACTGTGTCTTTGTCAAAAAATACAAACTTTCTCCACTGTAAGAATGTTGCCATCGTGTTTTCGGGGTCCCGCTAACACTAAATAGAACAGTACATCATGTGACAGTGCGTTCACGTGAGTAATGTTGCATTCGAGGAAAATGGGAAATGGAAATACGTAGTTTTTCTTTTTTTTAAGCCCTCTCAAATTACATTCTTTTGAAATTACCAAAATCTTCTTCACCTATTCAAAACATTAGCAAATTTAAAGCCACTTTATTTTTTAAAATCGGTTGTACTTTTCCAGGTTCACATTGTAAGCTAAAAGTATGACCACCTTCCCTGGTTTAAGCAACATTTTGCACTGTGGATGCTCAATCAGAGTATGACATTAAAAAAATGTTGATGCTCTGCCAATAAAGTAAGAAATATGCTCTGCATTGATGTACAGTATTTAAATATTTTTTTCTGGGATAACATATTTGAAATGTATTACGAATATATACGTTTGTGTGCCCTAGTGTACCCTAGACCTGGTCTGGTTGACGGATAACTAAAATTCATTTTTAAATGATATATATATATATATATATTTTTTTTTAATCAGGTGATAAGGTCACCGTGTCAGATATCAGAAGCCTTTTTTTTTTTTTTAAATGGAACATCAGATGATCAGAATGCCAGTACTGTGGTTGGATACATGGGGTGGCCTTGTCTGTCCAAAAACTATATGGTTGTGGGATAACTAATATTCATTTTTTGTTTTTTTGTTTTTTTTAATCAGGCGAAAAGGTCAAAATATCAGATTTCAGAGGCCTTTTATTCTGAAATGGAACATCAGATCTGAATGACAGATAAGATAAGAAAACCTTTATTAGTGACAGTCGTCTGGTTGGATACCTGATGTGACCCAGTGTACCCTAGACCTGGTCTGGTTGAGGGATAACTAAAATTCATTTTTTAATTTTTTTTGAAATCAGGTGAGAAGGTAGGTCAAAATGTCATATTTTGAAATGGAATATCAGATCTGAATGTCAGGACTGTGGTTGGATACCTGGGGTGCCCTCGTGTGTCGAAAACCTGGTGTGGTTGTGGGACAACTAAAATTCATTTTCTAAAATATCAGGTGAAATGTAATCATTGATGTAGAGTTACGATTGACTTTATTTTCAATCTCAAATTTAGAACGCTTCTTGGCGCTATTCTGACAGAGTTTTAATTCTCCATGGGTAAACTCATCGTTGCCTGACAGTCAAGAAATTATTTTAGAACTAGCAAATGCAGGACCATTTGGCATGCGAGTTTGAGACCCCTGTTCTACAGGTTGTAAATCATATGAGTTTGGTGTGACTGCAATCGTATGCACAAGCATTTTTTTCCATCCATCCAAAATGTAATCTTGATTTTTTTTTTTCCCTATGAGTGTAACAGATCAGTTAATTTGATTTATTTTTGGTATCCTGAGTAAATAATGTGTGTACATGTACTGTATGCCATTACTCCCCAAGCTTGTGTATTTGTAAAACGTTATATACAGTATTCATATTGACAAAAACAAGAAACTCTTTGAATAGGTGTGATATATGCCATTTTATTAAGTGTTCAGCAAGCAAATGGTTTTTTTTTCAGCAGAAAATGTAAAAAGACTACTAATTACATCAGCAGTATTATGATGCGAGTTGTAAGATGGCATACTAAGAGAAGATGGGGTGAGAGAATCATCTCCAAACAGGGTAGGCAAGGCTACATTTATCAACAGATCTTAACAAATATTTCAGTCGTGAAAAGAACCGAGAAAGTCAATGAAACAAGAAGTTTTAAAGGTAAAGACGTAAAGATCTGGAATACCCTATTCATGGGGAAAAAACGATCTACATTCCAGTTAAGGGTTTATAGAGTAAAATATGACCGTACACTCTATTACTAATGCATATTCTGCCACAGATCAAATGTATTTTATTCGACTAAACCTTACAAAAACAACAATAAATACATTTTAAACTCCAGGATATACTTACTCTAATTGCAGCCGTATCCCTGCCATATGAACCAACATGAACCAACTTAATTTGTACTGTAAGGAAAACATCAAAATGTGGGGAAAAGAGCTAATAAATCTACATATGATTCAATGAATTTGGTGGACTTTCAACTTCTTACATCTTTGCCTCGCTCTGCAGCGCTCTTACCATAAGATCTCTTGTCAAACTATGCACCACCAAATTTTAGACCTTCATAGTTGACAGTACAATCAATACTGAAATTAGAAAAATACAGGTATAAAAGCATTTACATTCAACACGACAGTATTAGCACAAAAGGGGATCTAGCAATTTGTGTCCTTAAAATAGGAATTTGAGAGAACCTTGTTAAGTAGTTTAGGTGAGTTTATGGCTATTTCCTGGAAGTCAACTTATCTTTTTCAAGTATGCCTTTTTGCTCCAGGGGAGGTAAAAAGTATATACCTTCTTCAAAGACAATTATTCATTTTGGTTTGAGTCATGATGTGCAAATATTACATTAGAAGGAGCATGCCCCCCCCCACCCTCGGTTTAAAAAAAAAAAATCCTATTTAAATTGGACACTTGTGCTGACAGTTACCTGGTTTTGACAAAAAAAAAGCAGAGCAACTGCTAGCCTCGTTTAAAAAAAAAAAAAATCAATATTAATATTCCCAACCCTTTTCTTTGGCAATTTGTCTCACTATACGTCAGTATTGTGTATTTTTGCGGAAGATATTTTGTTTGTTTACGTGAAAGACTTCACTGATGAAAAATGTGTTTCCCGCTCAAATGCATCACAAATGTAACATCCCTATTTTCAAAAAGTCAGAGTAAAATCGAATAGCTTCAGTTGATGGTAGAATGCAAGATGTTAGGGAGTACAGATATGGCGCTTGCTTATTAAAGTCTCGGGCTGACTTTAATAAATATTACTTTGTACCTTGTTGGACCTGATTTTGGAGAAAATAGGCAAGAATCACAATTTCTCCAGGAGATTTTCCGTTCATCAAACATCCAAAAGCATGACACCGTTTACAAAATTAGTTGAAATACTCAAGACTCAAAGACTTCGAGAAGAAAAGAGACAAGCTCATTTTCTAGAGCTGCTTCTGTCCCTGACAGCTTAGCTAGGTGACAGCTTAGCTAGCAAGGACACATTTATCATCATTGAGTTTGACCTTAAGTATAGTTGACCATGGGACAAATAATCAAGTTCCTAATAAATAACTACAATGTAGTAGTTAGTTGTTCTAAATGCAAATACATTGTAAAAATAAATGTTAAACGTCTCCATGTGCCTGAATTTTAAAAATGTCGTTCTAAACACAGGAACAAAAAATGTTGTCGGCAAGTGAGGAAATCTATAAACGAGTGAAATCTCTGAGCTTGTAATAAGTCTTGGCAAGTTAACATTTCAACAATTCTGAATTGCAGTACTTGTTTCATTTACAGATGGTATTATGTATATGCCCTACACAAGAAACAACTCATGGAAGGGACAGAAAACAAGACGTATGTAACAGACAAAAAAAGACGAGCCAGGAACAAATATCGGCATCATATGAAACATTTTTCATCTATGAGAGTTTGCATATTAATTTATGCTCTTATTTGAATGTCTGATGCAGTTGGGTCTTTGAATTTTCCTGCAACTATTAGAATATTCCTGAAACAAGAATAAACTTTAGTTCAAGGTCTTGTCTGTTGGTGTTTGTGTTTTGAAGACACTGAAGATACAGATGAGACAGCAGTATGAAGACAATCTTTGATTGGGATTCGGACTCACTTTCAAGATTAATGACAATAAAATGGGGACTGATATCATAACCAAGTCAACAGTGATGCTTATTCCAATATTACAAGTGGCTCTCCAAGTGGTAATAAAAACTGTAATGTTAAATATTGAAGAAATCTTTCCCCCCCCCCCCCCATTCAAAAATTCAAACACTAAATGTAAGACTGCAACGCACAGAGCAAGCAACTGGTGAATGACTTTGCAGTTAGATCTCGGGTATAAACTGCGTGAGCAATTATCATCGCTTTCACAATAAATTCATTTTGATAACCTGCTTGTCTCAATGACAGGGACAATGAGCCACGGATTAAGGGGTGGGGGGGGGACACCTTCAACTATGGTTAACTCTAATGCAAAAACAAGGGTAAGTGTTTCAAAGATTCAATCTTTTTTTCGAGCAACAACATACCACCTTTGTCTGTATAGTATAGTATGTAAAAATACCATAGGACATATATACAATGTACAATTTCAAATACTCAACCGTGGTTTCCTCATGTTTAAAAGACATCATATATGTATTATAGGCCAAAGCTAAGGAACATACTGAATATCCTACGTGACCATTTACCCTGGTTAACAACATTAGAGGATAAAGCTACTAAAAGTGATGGTGGTCCCCCTTTTATCAGAAGAGAAGGTCTTATGAGTGTGGTGGTGACTTAAAAAAAGTGACAATAACTTCATTTATATCATTTTTTTCTTTTGTTTGATTATCCGCCAGTTGTGTTTTGTTTTAAATTGCAAGTTTAGTTTATGACCCTGATAATGGCCAATGCAAAACAAAACCCTGACAACCTCTTAATGTGAGCAACACACTGAGGAGTATGTAAAGGGTTAAGAGAAGTTAAAAAAAGGCATTTTACGCAGCTAAAAGGAAGGCTTTCAGCCACAAAAATAATGAGTGATGAGCAAGGAAAGGTCATGGGGTTTTCACCTTTATAGAGGGCTTGCCATACTTGCCATAAAAAAATAAAATAAATATCAGCAAACTTTCACTGATCAGCACAAGAGATGAGGACAGGAGTCTGGGCGAGTTCTCTCTTCAAACTCTCAGCCATGCCTTTCTGGCCTCTGAAACGAGAGATTGAAGTAAACTTGAAGCAGACGATTTCCAACAGTAATCCTTGTAAATGCTGCATCACAGGCGTAACAGAGTCACAATTATTTCGTTTGGCCCCTTCAGACAAAACTCAGGAAAATGGACCTTGCTGTCTGAAGCGCTCAGTCGCACAGCCACTGCCCCATTAAAATGACGAGACTCGCTATGTCGACACAGCATTTGCTTTTAACACAAAGGGGCATAGGTATAAGTCTCGGGTGCTAAACATCAAACTGTGGTTGCATATTATGGTGGCACTGCGCCTCTGTTATGTCTTTGATACTACCTCGGAGGGCAAAAAATTCCAGTGTCAAAATTAACCCTTTCCCGTCCTAATGACTTTTCTTGCTAAGTTTAAACATATGAAAAGTTCAAGGTGGCAAATAATCGCAAAGATGTTCACAGTGTTAACGTTTGTAAACAGTTCTTGTCACCAAGAAATTTTGAACATGTTTGAAACACAAACATTCACCGCTTCGTGGGATGTGGTCTTAAATAGAAAAAGAAAAAAAAAAAAAAGAAAAAATGGCGGGCCAGATCAGGCTGGCTGCTCTGCTAACAACTGGCAGTTCATGATTATTGGCAGGGATGGGTATTCCCTGGGAGGGAGGAAAGGAAGTTATTAAAAAAAAAAAAAGGATGAACTAAGCAAGGATGGAACTGGGTTTTCGTTCGTCCCTTTAATGGTCCCTAACCGGGTCAAGTACCTACGGACACCCATTTCAATAATGACTGACGGAAACACATCCAGCCTGTTTTACGTGTATAATCCCACAATACACTACTTCAGACCGAATGTGACACACAGCTTGTCTTGGGCGTATTTCACCGTGTTTGTATGCAGGGAGGAGGTAACTTCACTTTGCTTCAGGCAAACAAGAGGAGGGGCAGTCGCCCTCCGTCCAAAAAAGTTTATATTTTGCCAGTCATTCTTGTGAATGACGGTGGTTGTAATGGCAGCTAAATGCTATCTTAAACAATTCAATCCAGCTGGTTAAGAAAGCTGGCTGTGTTGTATGTCAGTGTTTTTCAAACTTTTTTGAGCCTAGGCACACTTCTTTCATTGAAAAAAAATCTAGCTGATCTACCACTAGCTGAAAATGTGACCCCCCCCGCGCTTATTTTAACAATTGACGTCTTATATTGTTACTATAACTGTTTTTAACATTGAAGAATGACGTTATAACAGCTTGAATTGGAATCAAATGAGCACAAAGAAAAAAGTATTTTATAATCTTTCATATTTTTGACAATAAAGTTGAATTCAATTCAATTGTTTCACTGTCGTCCTGCATTCATGCGGCACAAATTCGCTTGTCTCTAGTGGTCGAAACACAAGGCAATTGGCTCGCTGTTGCTGCTCCCTAGCGGTATGGGACGGTATTACACGATTACTTTCTGGGCGATAGACCGCACAGGCATAAAAATTGGATATTTTACCGCGGCACACCTGACAATGTCTCACGCACTGGTGTGCCGCGGCACACGGTTTGAAAAACACTGTTGTATGTCTCTCGGTGCCTGCTCACCAAGATGCTTATAGAGTACACCCCCATTTGAGGCACGGACTTCTAAAAGTACACTTTTTATTATTATTATGGCAAGATGGCATGTGTTTTGTCTTTTATGGACGACGCATTTCTCTCGTGAAGTGACATACGCTTTGTAGTGAGCGCCTCTATGAAGAGGAAAACACACTAAAATCCCTAATGCTTGAGCGATCGCGCTTATATTTTCAGAGGTTTATGTGAGCATAAGTAAAGATGTCAACATACATTTTGGTGACCATCGATCGCAGTTTTGGCACATTAGGTGCTGTTTAGATTCCGACATTATGGATTTAGACTGTCATGGTGGATCACTGTACAGCAAGTAAGGGGCGACACATTAGTGTCCGCAACTAAAGAGCCATTTGAAGGTTTTAATACAAGATTCCATGGGAACCATAAACTCTTTGGAAATCTAAAATAAAGATATAAATTATTTCCCTTTTTTTTTGTCAATTCTGTAGTAGGCAATTCTTGAACCGGGTTGAAGAGATATGTCAGCCCGTCCGCCATATTGTATTGTGGCTTTAATATGAAACATAAATTCGGCAAATAATTTCATAAAACGAGCTAGAATAACATCATATAATCAAAAGCAATAATTCTGTATTGTTTTAATGAGTTTTTGCTTGATGATACATCTCCAAGATGAAAGCATCTTTACAATTTGCTTCCAATATGGCTGTGGTATCGACATACTCAAGAAGGCATCTTTGTATATGTAATGTACATGCTGTCTGATAATACAGTACTTGCTTGCGGTTGACGCAAAAAGCACCACTCAAGATGGGATTGGCAGTGCTACACGAATATACGGAGCAATGTAAGTGCTGCCTGTAGGGTATTAATTGACACCCCCCCCAACCCATGCATTTATAATAATCATAATAATAATAATAATAATAATACATTACATTTATAAGCGCCTTTCAAAACACTCAAGGACACTTTACAATCAAAACAAGAACAATAAAACCACAGATAAAATTATAAATAATAAAAGGACATTTCATGTGTCCACCTTAATGCTGGGTTCTGGTGACAGGTCTGCCACTCCCGTTAAAGACTCTCTCGCTCATGCACGAGCGCTTTGTTTTTTTTCCTGGGTTGGGGGGAAGTCCTGGTGAAATGCAAGGACGGAAGCACTTTAAAAGCATGAGGACAGATGGGGACAGGTGATGATTATTTTATGAATGAGGACGGAGGGATGATGACAGAAGGGTACCCTAACAGCATGGACGGAGGACGGACTCGCAAAATAGCTGTTTATTGGTATTATTTTTACAAAATGTAAAATGTATACACCTTTTTAACCGCATTATTGGACAACTATAAAATATTGCTAGTCAACGGGTGTTTTATTTTGTTGAGAGCATTTTTGCCTTTAAAACAAACACAAACATCACGCATTACATTTAATGAAGTGCTGTGCGACACAATCTTTGGGGTTTGAACAACCTGGTGATTGACATTGCACTGATCCTACGTACCTGTGCATGTTTTCCATGGCCGCAACTTCCGCAAGAGCAGCTAAACTGAAGAAAGCAGGTAGCTCCTCCGTTCCAGCGCTCCCCTCCACTGGTCTGGAATCACTGCAATATCCTTTTTCATTGCATAAAGTGAGTTGGGGTAATGGAATATTCTCCTGCACCGGAGTCAGATCGCTAATTTTGTCCTCTGCAAGACAAGACAAAAATACCAAAAGTCTGATGTTCTTAACCCATTGCATGATAATATTCAGTCAAGTCTTCACCTGAATAATGCCAAACAGTTAAAAGAAAAGCATGAAATATCTTCAGATCAGGATCTGGCCTGTTCCAAATGTTGAGCTTTTTTTTTTTGTAAGCGACAAAATTCTTCAACAATCTGAGTGATCAACTGCAAATGATTGGCCTAAGTGCCAACAAAAATGAATTATACAGGAGGTATGAGTAAAATGCTGTGTGATGTCCATAAATGTCAAAAATGTAAACTATGCAGTATTTTTAATCGCACCCCACATCATATTTTGAAGTAATATAGTTTCCGTTTCTGCCACAAATCACGTCGAGCAGCAATCCTCCATATGTGCATTTACGATCAATGATGACAAGAAGAGGAATAACACTCTGTCAGCTTGTCAAGTGCCGTTAAATACCACAAGAATGAAGAAAACTCAGGCTGGCAAATCCTCGTCAATGCCTTGGTCATCACCTGCATCCCCAACAATGTCACTTCAGCAGCTCACTTGAACTGAGCACTCTTCCGCTCATCATATGAAATTTTTGGCATAGATCCAACAATAAATTTTCCTTCCTTCTCCTTTGTCTACAAATGCACATAGACTTGCTGTAAAGTAAGGCTGGGAGGTAGAACAAAATATTGACATTCCGATCTAGAGCGGTGGTTCTTAACCTGAGTTCGATCGAACCCAGGGGTTCGGTGAATCAGTCTCATGGGTTCAACGAAGCCTCTGCCATGGCGGTTAAGACACACCCGACTCAAAATGTCATTTAGTTATGACACGGCTGGTTGGTCATCACTGGCTGCAGATGATCACATGACATTGCTTGTCCAATCAGTGCTGCGGGAAATTTAGTTCGCTCAGTAGTCAACACGTGATTGTCGTGATAGTACATTGTGTGATCATTATGATTTAAAAAAATGTTTTAACACATGCTATGTCGAGCAAAAAAAGAAAGTGGTCAGACAACTATGTACAACATGGATTCACATGCATCACGAATGCTACACTTGTGTGTAGGCGTCCCCAATGGGGTGGCCATATTGGCAAAACATTAGGTACGATCCAGTTCAAAGTTTTACATTGTTCACATACGAAATTAAAAATGTTCAGCTAATTTATTACACCAGCCTTCCTCAACTGGCGGACCGCGATCCACGACCGGACCGCCGACCTCCTCTGTCCGGACCCTCAGCAAATTGTATAAAATAATAATTTATAAAGTGATTTTTACGTTATACATTTTATATTTGTGGACTATAATCTGCGCATTACCGCGATCGCTTGTTAAAATTATCCGTTGTATTGTTTGCGTGCACTAACAGATGTAATGCAGAGGACCGCAGCAGCGCAACTGTGTGTTGTATAATGTTTGACCAACTGGACACCCAGGCTGAGCAGGGCATGTCGGCGATAACGATGCGCTGATTGGCTCCTTTGAACTTAAGGTGTGCCCATACATAAGCGTCAGCATATACAATGCGCTGATTGGCTCCTCTGAACTTAAGGTGTGCCCATACATAAGCGTCAGCACGCGTCTATCCCAATACACACGCATTCAAAATGGATGATTGTGTCAAGAAACAGACGCATGTGCGAAGCCACAGTGTGCTACTGCTCACAGCTTCAGTCCAGGAGAGCCACACACAGACAATTAGACAAGACGAATCGCGGGAGGTTTCGATTGTGTGCAGTTTTGCTCCCGTCTACCCGGGGATCTTTGCAGCTGTTTAACAGCAGAACACCGCAACATGGTAAATGAACATCACAATGGCGTCCTCAAATAATATTTGCATGCCTCAAACATTGCATTCACCTTTAGTGGAAGAACAGCACTGCACATTCCTGTGCTCCCTTGTGTCAGTTTTTAAAATGGTTCTTAACTCCTCTTCTGATATATTTTTCAGTGATTTCAGAGGGGATGTGAAAAGGGGAATTGTACAAATGAAAAGGATATTTTTGTTTTCATGTTGAGTATCTATTTTGGTAAAATTAGTATTTTGTTTTGTTTTTGTTAAATTAAGGGGAAAAAAGACAGCTACTGTTTAACAAAGTTAAAGTAAAAATGTCTTATTTCCCTAAAAGGGCTATTTCTATTATTAAGCAGGCACAACTTAACAAAATAAAAGAGTTCCTGTGCCTCAACACAATACCTCTCATTATTTGCTGTGTACTGGCAAAGTGAATAATTGTTATTTTCATGCACCCCATTATTGGTTGGTTGTGAGGAGTGTTGATTTGTATAAGCTTGGCTTGACCATACTAAATGGGCATATAGCCCTGCTCCCCATGACCGCCGTGCATGGGACCGGACCTTGGTCTTATTAAAAAAAAAGAAAAAATGGACCTACAGCATTTTTAGTTGAGGACCACTGTATTACACCTTGGGTAAATAAATAATAAAAAAATCAGACCAATATATTGGGACATTATATTGCTGAAAGCAACATGTTGCTGAAAATTAATTGCCCTTTATTTGGTTAGGCAGTGTGTATAAACATTGAGTACAAATATCAATAGCATCTGATTCCGTGAAAAAAGTTTCAACCGATTAAGTATCAACATAATGACCTGCTCAGCAACATCTTGACCATTTTTGAGCAGTTCACGTAATGACTGGGATCTAACCCATGCTGTCACATGGCACTTGACTTGGTCTACAGTATTTTGCTAAGATGCTGTTTAGCATTGTAAAGTATTGCCATAATTTAGATACCATAACACTCCTTGCTGTCTCTGGTTTCATATGTTCTTTCTTCAAGAAAGGTGAAAAAAAAAACAAATTAAGACATTAACAGTAGCAATGGCTGGAAAATGCACCCGGGTCTGCGAGGCTCCAAAATATTCTATTAAAAGCTCTACATCCAAAAACCCTGATTGATCCTCACGAATATGATACTAATGCATTGTGAATACTGCATATATTTAATCTAATTGTACTATAACCCGGCGACACAACTGGTTAGCACGTCCGCTTCACAGTGCAGAGGTCATAGGTCCGACCTTGCTGTGTGGGGTTTGAATGTTCTCCCCATGTCTGCGTGGGTTTTCTCTGGGAACTCCGGTTTCCTCCTACATTCCAAATACATGATGGCATGTGAACTGAATACTCAAATTTTGTCCCTCGGTATGGTTGTGAGTGTGAATGGTTGCTCGTCTATGTGTGCCCTGCGATTGGCTGGCACCCGGTTCAGCGTACCGCGGCCAAAGATAGCTGGGACAGGCTCCAGCATGCACACGAACCTTGTGATCATAAGCAGCTCAGATAATGGATGAATGGATGTACTGTACTATAACCGAGCGGGAGGTGCTATGTACACCAACATTGACAGGGACAAGATCTTTGTACAGGTCCAACGGTGTAATACATACATGCCAGCTCGCTTATTAGCCAAATGCTGATTGCCAATACCGGCGACCAGCCCAGTGCACAAACCGTATTGTATACTGTATTTTTGAAAGAATAATAGTGGGACACAGGGTACAACACTCTCGCCGTTCCAAACACGACATTGTTTCGTTTGACCTGACGTCTTCCTCTGTGCCTGTTCACGTTGACGGCCGTCCAAATGAACCAACGAGGTTGAGCTTCAGTCCACCCAAATCCTTCTCACTTGATTAGTTGAAATGGCCCCACACTGCATCAAGCTCCACCCCCTCAGGCCTTGCTTGTATGAGTACAAAATATTGGTCTGCACATTCAAATCTGTCTTCGTGAGATATGTCGTGAAAAGACATCCTTTCAGCGGAAGCAAAACATGTGTCGACTCCTTGTGTTGACTTCTTCCACTACAATGTATTTTTTAAGTTCTCATTTGTACAGCTACAACATTCTGTTTACAAATGTATATTTTTTTGTGACAGAATTAACTAATAATCAAATTAATAAGCAAAATTCATTCCTCACAATTACATCTTTTTTCCCTAAAACTACAAATCAGTGACATTTTCATGGTACAAGTTACTATTGCACCAAACATTCATGCTCAGTGGCCCTCGGCTCAGTGGCCCTCGTTCGTTGCAGGCATATGCACGTGGCCACTCGCCCAGTCCAAGACACAGAACAAATCTGGTAATCTGACAGAGCGTCTGTCGTGGACAACACTTTGTTTGTGTAGTTTGACAGATGGATGATGCAGTGATGGACTGACTAGTGGCATCGCCTGACTCCTTTCAGTGGGGCATGTGTCCCAGTATTAATGAGCTGTGCTGCAGTACCAGGTGCAGACTCGCCATCGGACTGGCAGGTAAGGCCGAAGTGGGAAGAAAAAAAATAATTGCTGTGCAGTTGTTCATATGTCACAGTGAGCAACAGTGTTTCTCAACAGTCATTAATTTACAACCTAGGCGTTGCTTTTTCCTGTCCTTCCTCCTCACCCCTCCCTTCCCCACTCATTGTGTGTGTCAAGCGGCACTCGCAGGTGGGCCCCACCTCCGACAGATGGCTGATATTGGCCTATATCAACACAACTCTAAAAGGTCATTACAATGACATGTTATGCATCAGACACTATTATCAAGTTTCTAGAAAAGACAACAAAAAAAAAAATGTATGGTGCACACTGACTGAATCAGGTCACGCAAAAAGAAGATAAAAAACCTAAAGGGTGCAGAAAAAAAAAGAGATGGTGGTGCTTTATGTTACATCAGAAAAGTAGTACTGATAGTTTGTCCAAGGATCAAGAACCACCACAATGTTAACTGCACATGAGCAGCTCACATTAAAAAGCAAACCAGTAGATGAAACAAAAGAGTGTGTACGGTATCGGTTTGAATTTGTTTACACATAACAGTTTTTTCATGATTAGCCATGTGACAATAAGTCAGTCTTGTTTGACATTGATAATTTCTGATTAGAATTCTTGATCTGTCCAAACTTATTATTTTGTTTGGGAAGACATTACATATATCTTCAAACTTATTATTTTGTTTGGGAAGACATTACATATATCTC